AGGACAGCAACACAAAATGAGAGAATAGCAAGTCCTGTGACTTCCTTCACATACTGAACCTGTTAAAAAAAGTTCAGCTCACTTTTTCCTCTGTGGCTTTAAACTTTTGCCTCTGCACTACCTGATTTGGGTTGAGACCTGAAGCAGCAGTGGCACAATAAATTATAAACTTAAAAGTTTCATATCACCTCTGGACATCAAGAAACATGATGACTGATTTCATGATATCATGTGGCAGTTGGATGATATAGGACTGCCCAGCTGGCCTCAGTTATTTCTTCCTATGCAATGCATAGCGGCAACCCCTTGTTACTTCTACAACAGATATCCATGTGCCCACCCATTAACATGAATGTTGATTGAGTTCATCAAAGCAAGCTGAACTGCACAGCAATGTTGAACAAGTACCAACAAAAACAAGCTATTTTCATAGGTGTGTTTTTCTCTCCCATCTTTCCTGAACAAGAGATTTGGAAGATAAAATTTCTCATTTTCCGGCAGCACTAGCATTACTTCCTTTGTTTGCCCTCTCAGCAGCATTTAATGCCTCCTTTAACTTTCTGGTGCTGTTTTTTTCACCCTTTGTCTCTGCTCATATTATGACTCCTGTCAGTCTGCTACCAAAAATGGCAGAAGCACATTTGTAAACACGTGCTGGGAAACTGTTGTATCTCATCAAGTGAGTATAGAGATCAATGGGTCACTCTTTTTCCAGTCCTAGTACTTCCTTGCTTTCTTTTTTCATAACAAGTGTGGGAATGATGTTCAGGCGGATCATAATTTAACAAAATCATTCAGCAGATGTATGCCAGGAAAGCTCTCAGCTGCTGAAAGGCTTAACCCCAAAGCATTCTGAAACAAGATAAAAACTTAAGCGTTTCCTCATCTCATGTTCACACCTAAAGATGTGTGTGTACTGACCTTTCATATTGTTAGAACCAAAGCATGTTGTGAAAATCCCTCTGCAATTTAGCGCTACACAGAGTTGAGTCTGACTCATCTTTGAAAGCACATTTTGTTTGCTTCTTCGGGGTTCTGAGTGGGAATATGTTTTATTTTTACATAAATAAATATACTCTATTTGTATTTATAAATACATGTTTATGGTGGTATAAAAGTAAAAAATGATTAATGAAAATTGCAGTCTACCTGAATAAAAAAAGAGTTGTTTTCTCTGAAGTCATGTTTCCAGACAATACAGCCCCTATTCAGCACCTATCCTACTTCTTCATCAGCACTATAAGACTGGTGCAAGAGGAAAAGTGGTGAACCACTGCCTGACATCTGACTCCCCAGGTACCTCTCCACTATTTAACTGCTACATTCATCCCCCTTCTCCCGCCCGCCCCCCCCAGCCTGTCTCTCACCCACTGACTCCTCAATTTACATCTTTACTGACTGCCTGTCCTGCATACATACCAACCCAGCCTCTGGCTTCTTTACTATTAATCCCATCCAGGAAGAGCACAGCCAGGAAGAGCACACGCCAACTGCAGAAACTTCCCCAGCCTGACGAAGGGTTTTTAAACCCAAAAGCTTGCTTAAATTTTTGTTCCAACTATTTAAGTTGGTCTAATAAAAGATATCAGATTCACCCAAGGAACCTTGTCTGCCTACGTCCTTAGACCAACACGGCTACAACATACACCCCTTTGAACCACCCCATGCGTTTTTCCCCACATGTTCTTTTTGGGGGTATCAGATCTAGAAGAAATCTGTAACTGGAATGGTCTTTTATGGCTTGAGATAAGAATTATTGGTGCAGAGACCTATAGTTGCTGGCCTCAGTTCTGAGTACAGACTCATAGGGAGAGTACACACAACTTTCTGAAAGTCTCTGATGTACCTGTTTGCTCCTGTAACAGGGAACACTAGCCCTGTTACCAGAAGACAGGTCGGCCCCTTTAAGACCAGAACGTCTTGGGCACAGCGTGCTGGTAAGGTGGGGGTTAAAAGCTGAGCCTGGCCAGCTAGTCAGGTGACCAGAAGGGGGCAGGCCAGGACTATAAAAACCCTGGGCTGGGTGGCCAAAGGAGTGTGTCCCGGAGTTCCACAAAGAAGCTTGGTGAGTGGTCCAAAGGCTGGAGGAGGGGAACTATGGAGGACCCCAGAGAAGCGGCAGCAACACCAGAAGAAGGACTGTAGCCGACGGTGGGGAGCAGAAGCACGAACCCCTGCATAAATGTAAGCTAGTGTGCTGCCTTCTTTAATCTCATTTCTCTTGGTGGTGGTTATTGCCCATGGACAGGACTGTTCATATTTTTTTTGTTATTGAATAACACTGGTGGTTTGGGTGAGGCTATTGGGGAAGGAGGAGGCCTCATTGGAGCCCCACTATAGCGTGAGAACTCTGGCACCTGCATAGGCGCAATGTTCAGGGTGCACAGAGAGGGTGCAGTACTCGGGAGGCACAGGCCCGGCGCCCAAGAGGGCGAGCCAAAAAGGCCAGGGTGGCCTGGTGTGCAACAGTGTCTTTTGGGTTTTTTTGGACTGGAACGGTGGAGGTCTGGGGCTGCTGCCCGGCTTCAAGCTTGCGACCCCCTGGCTGTGGGGCTAGTGGATGGGCCTCTGGGCCAGGGAGGCTGTGCTCCAGATTGGAGCAAAAAGGAGGGCCACGAGCCCCAAGACTAAAGAGCTAGAGCCTCAGAGGCAAACCCTATCTGGTGGGTTTAGATGGGGAAGCCTAGCTAGAGAAAGACTGGGGTCAAGGCCAGTGGTGGCAGAGGATGCCAACATACAAAAACAATAGGCAGTCTCCCACTTACAAAAACATTGGTATAAAATTTCCATCAAGACATGGCAGGAGAGTAGACAGCAGGACACAAGAAACCTTAAAGGGAACTCCAAGGGCGCCCCACTTAGAGCACGGATAACAGGGAAGATGGCGCTGGGGAGGGCAACCTGTTACAGCTCCCCTATCGAATCCTACACCATAATTCATCATGGAATCCCCAACCAATAAAGTCCCCCAGCGCTCTACCTAGACCCATTTGTAAAAAGGCGGAATATTTTCCTACAGACACTGACACGCTGTTAGCCAAATTTAAAAGCCATGCTCCATAACTCTTCAGTTGCCCCTTCTGAATGAAGATGGCAAAGAAGCGCCTCCATCTGTAGGCCTTGCTGGGGCACTGATTAATGTATGCTGTTCACTCAAAAGCTTTGCTAAATCATTGGCCAGAATAGGCCTCACCAGCAAACCTGACCAATGCATGAACACTTCACATAAACAAAAGTTGGCATGTGAGCCAGATGCGCATTCCTACCAAGAGATGGGAGGGAGAGATGATAGTACAAGGTAGGTTAGTCCAGTAGGATGATACGGCTGGAGTGAGGACACCCAGGTCAGAATGTGAAACAAGCCCATGGTAGAAGACAACGTGAGATGTTCAAGATACAGATGGAATACAATACATAATTTGTTTTGATCATTGTATAAAAAAAGAATTGAAAAGCAGGGAAATTTTGTAGCGGCCTGCAGAAGCCCGCATGGTGGTGTGCCGACTACCTTGTCACAGGTGCAAATGCCATAACTCCTGGTCTGATGTGCTTGTTAGGCTCAAATGTGCTAGGGCTGAGCTTGTAAACAAGAAACCTGGGTGAATCTTTGCTACCGAGCCAGGCCTGCAGTCACTCTTCAAGACAAGATTGGTGTTGGATTCTCCTGGCTGCGACTTGTCAACACCGCAGTTCCTGAGACTTCAGCACTGACAACGCATCAATAACACCCAGGGAGGACAACAGCAACGATGACACTGTAACCCCAGACAACACCATCTATTATACGAGCTGAGGTTTCACTGGACTTGCAGCCTTTTCATGAAACTTCAAAAGGCTCAGTGCTTCCACCTTTACTACTGTATTATTTACTGAGTGGGACTGTTTAAGGTACAGAGGAGTTGAGCTCTGCCAAGCCAACATAAGGCTGGCACAATTGGTTCAAGATTTGTATTTAAATATTTCAAAAGCCCCTTTAAACTTTATCTTCACTGGCTCCTCATTTCATTCCCACTGGGAGATTGAACCTTCTTTTGAAATTAGTCTATGTACCTTTTAGAACAGAACAGCATTGGGAGTTTGATTCTGCTTCTAGTTCCTGTTGCCAGGGGAGGAATAGCATAAGGGAATATGCTGGGCCTGATCCTGATGTGAAGCGGCATAATTACTTTGCAGCCAATGAACACTATATCCATATCCAGACAAACTGCTATAAATGAAAGAACAGCGGAGCAGAAATGAGTGGCCAGAATGAAAGCACATAAGGAGTTCCACAAAGCACTACAACAGACTGGATTTCGTTAACAGGCTCCGCAATGATCAGTTCTCTGCAAGCCAATTTCTCTCACGGGGGAAAAAGTATTAGACTAGTCAGGCTGTCTTTTGTGATGCCTGTCAGTTTAAATTGCATGACCTTTTAACTAGCTCTAAACCTCACCTGTCTAAGTCAATTTATTCATATGTCTATATAAAGCTTTGCATTTCCAGGGTTTTTTCACTGAGGAAACTAATGGAGAAAAGTTGGCAGAATATTCTAAGAGTAAGTAAACGTGCGGGAGAAATACATCTGCCTGTGCATGGATTTTCCTATATTGTTCAATTGTATCATTTCTTTTGTTGCATTTCGCTGAAAATGTTCTTGCCTACAGCACCCCTTTATCTTTTTTATCTCTGCATTTGACTGGTTCTAGCAAGCTGAGATCTGTGGAACGTAATTAAATTAAATCTTTTTTCCTAATTGGATTGAGTCTGTGCAGTCATTGTCCATTTCCTTCAGGCTTTACAGAGTAGCACCAACTATTTCCTATTGGATTTTGAGTTTATTTGTTTTAGTTGCAATAACAAAATGTTGTGTTTTACCTTTCCTTTTAGTGAGCTCCTGTTTGTTTTTCCTCAGTGCTCAGAGAGACTCTGTATTTCTCACAGGCAACATTTTGAGCAGGAAAGTTCCCTCTGGGTATGTTTTGTAGTTTGCATACAATGGTCTTCTTGTCCAATTTCAGTTACTACAACCATATTGTGTCTGTCTTGAAAACTCACCTTGACCCCAGCCAGCAGCCCAGAAAACAGTTTCTGCAGTTTCCCTGCCTTCTCAGAAGGCCCCAAAGGCTCCTTACTTTGCTCTTTCTCCTTGAAAGGTAAGTGTTGGCTTATTTTGTTTTACAGGAAATGCCTTCCTTTCCTCTCCCTCTATTCCACCCCGCTCCCAGTGCTTATCTCCCAAGGAAAAGCAGATTTATGAGAGAGATAAAAACGATGAGAGTGAACTGTAGGTAAACGCACACAGAGCTCAGAATTATGGGGCTAACAATATCACCAGGTCACGAGAGCCCTCTAGTACCCAGCTTTTTTTCCCAGCCAGCCCTTTTCATACTGATGTCTGACACGCTCTCTTTGCACTGTCATGAAGAGAGCAATGACCACTATGCCACCATACACAGAGAATCCACGGAGGCATTTACAGGCATCCATGTCTGAGATGGAAGGGGATTTTGCCCTTATGATCAGTTTGCCCAAGTTTAATAGCATCTGTTTAAAGAGCCCCACATGGCATGCTGAATATGCTTTGCAGGTTTCCATTGAATTAATAGCTCTTTAATTATTCAGAGCAATATTTAAAGGGTGCAGTAAATAATGATCAGACAATTGCATTCATTTTTAATAAGACTAGCCACCAAATGGGTTCTTTCCTCCCCACAGAACATTTGAGGGGTTTGGCAAGAAAATAAAAGTATTACTAAAAATTATCCAACTGAAACTTGAACATGTCAATTCAGGGTCACCTGGAAGTAGTAGTTTTGATTGCCTCATGGCCCACCCTTCTCTGTGGAGCTGCTTCTCTGATTACCCCTATTCATTTTTATCAAATAAAAGTTAAAAGGTAATGGGGAAAGCAGACTGCTTTTGGAGGAAAAACCTGAACATCTACTTTGAAAACCCAATTTGCCACAGAGAAACAGTTTCCATCAAGATTTTTTAACCAGTCCTTTCTCACATGTCAGTAAAAGTGAATGCCAGCCCCATTCCTAGCATTTCTGGAATTCTCAAGACAAAAATGATTAATTTCTTTGAGGGATAAGAGGCTGGAGAACGAATCACCTAAGTTATTGGAGAAAAATTAAATCAAGTGCTGTTCCCTACTGCATCATGTCACTGCACTCTTTGGGGTTACACACATATAAATAGGAGCAGAATTTCCCCATTGATTATATAGGGATCAATGATATTTGCGTACCTGCATAGATTAATGATACTTCTTGCAGTTATATAATGAGGTTATTGACCTGGTGGTTAGGGATGATTTGAGAATATCATTACAGAGGATCCAGGCCATGAAATGCTGATCCAAATTTAAACTTCTTTGGGTTTCAGGCTTTTCACACACAGGCCATTCATTTGCCCTGTGAAATGAGGTATAACAGCTGGGTGCTACAACCGTAAGTGTAGTTTACTCATTTTTACAATATTTTCCATTTAACTACTTTTTTTTTTTTTAATCTTGCTCACGCAGATTAAGGGCTCTGTGGCTATTGGCCCTGGTGCAATCACTGAGAGAAACTTCATGGTAAAGCTGGGAAGACAAAAAAGCACTGCACAGCTGAAAACACTGCAATGCCCATTGTGAGTCAGCACTCCAGCCTCCACTACTCTGAATAGTGTTCACAAAACGCTCAAAATATAGACAACACTAGAAGCGAAATATCCAGAGTCAAAGCAATCCATCAGGAGCAGACATACAAAGTCACTCTCAGTGACCGGTCTGTATATGGGTCCCATGCTTAGCTAGGAAAAGTTACAGGCAAACAATAGTTTCTAGAGTGAACTAAACTGTTCTATCTCAACAATGTATCATATCTTCATACCAAGGTATGGTTTGATTTTTCTAAAGTCCTCATTTGATAAATGATCAGCTCTCAGCTTCTAAATCTTGACTTTTTTTTGCAAACAAGAGATGGGCTCAATACTTCAAAGAAATATGCACAGAAATATGCCAGATGAAGACAGTGATATTTCAACTGAAAAGGAACCTCTTTTCCAACACAGACCTAATGGTGAAAACCAAATAAATGTAAGTAATGCCCCCTAAAATTGTTGACTTGTCTTTGTCTGGGAGAAGGGGCCTGGCAATATAAATCTCCTCAGAATGTAACCTGAGTCTTAAGAGTCCTTGTTTCATAATTTATCACATTACATTTTGATTTGTGTGAACTGTACATCTGGGTATCATTGGAAGAGTTGAAGTTAAAAGCTGTAATGGAATGCAGCACTTGTGTCTCCACTCCATAAAAGATCACTCTAGAAGCAGCTCAGCCAAGTGAGTAAGAAAAGGTCTAGCGTAATTGACAGTAAGGCCTCTGATTTTAGTGTGCCTTATGTTTCCTTTTTAAAGATTTTCATTAGCAGTATAATGTCTGCTTAGTAGGAACCTGCAGCGAAACTGCCATTTTTCTTGTATTTGTGGCTTTCTAGTGCCAAATTATAGAATTAAATGGCTCAAGAATTTTAAGTTGTTGGTTTGTTTGTGGTTCAGACCTTTACTTCTCATACTTTTACTAATATACTTTGGTTCTTGATGTTTATCTCATTAGCTATAGAAGAAAACACAAAGTTGTTGATTTAGAATTAATTGCAAACAGTAAATAATACTATGTTGTAATTTGTCAAATTCATTCACCAAGGCACCAGCATTCATTTCATGCTTCTGTACTTCCTAATGCATCATATACTAAGGAAGAGTGGTGAACCACCCTAAGCATTTTTCCCCACATATTCTTTTTTTGGATATCAGATCTAGAACAAATATGTAGCCGGAATGGTCTTTTATGGCCTGAGATAAGAATTACTGGTGCAGAGACTTATAGTTGCTGGCCTAACTTCCATGTACAGACCTATAGGGAGGGACAAACAGCACTATGGACATTGCCCCAGGCAGTCAGCAAATCATTATGGAAGTGCCAATGTCCCAGTAGAAAGGTTACGCATAATTAGGAGAATGTAGTGTGCCTTTCTGTAGCTGTAGGAATACAGTTGCAAAAGTTTAATAAAAGCCAGGATTTTGGAACAGCTGAATATCTGACAGTTCACAAAGGCACTGAAGCATGGTACAGTACATTTACCTGAGTTTCAAACACAGAGCAAGTTAAACATCTGAAGCTTTGCTTTCTACTACTAACCTAGGATCATTTGAGTGACTAAGGGAGAGTAATCTTTCTCTTTTAGGTGGATATGAGGAATTCTAATATGCTTAACAACTATTATAACTTTATGTTAAGGAATAAAGAGCTAAAGTCTGGGAGATCTCTCCTTGTAACGTGTGATGGATGATTAAGAGACACTGAAAACTTCAGTCTCTAAATGGAATTTCTCTCTGCAAGACTTCATTACAAAATGAATGTACTGCTTTAATGATAATGAGATGATATTATTTATACAGACAGTTCCAGCAGTTCCCAAAGAGGAGTAAATGTTGTAGTCATACTCATAAAGGCCTGTCTGCTCATTATTTGGCATTAATTTTATTACAGAATAATTACCAAAGGAATATTTGGATTTACTGTTAGCAAGGGTATTTGTAAATGAATTATGAATCTAATACAACAAACGTTCTTCTCCCAATATGAACTCAAAATAGTGTAGATTACTTTTTCCTTGTAATGCTGTTTCTGATTTTGAAAGCTTCATAATATATTGCATTCAAGAATTAGAAGAGAACAAATATTTACACAATACACAATTTCTTTTGTGCATGTACACAATAAGACTAAGAATTAGGCATAAATTCTTAAGGATGGTAATGTAGCAAGTGCCCATATAGCCTGAATATTGACTTAGGCAGTTCATAATACTAAATATAGGTCTGTCTGAGTAATTGCTAGTGAATAATTTATTTAACTTGTACAGCCTCTTTATCTGTTCATGAATCACCCACAAATGGCAGATTGTTCATTATTCTAAATTGGTGATTCTCAAACTGTGGTCCATTGACCACATGAAAAGCTGGCTGGTCATATGTTGCTGACCCTCATCTTTGTTTTCAGCTGCTTCTATGGGTCCCCAGTGTCAAGGGAACACACCTCAAGCCCAGTCTTTATACCGGCTCGCCCCCTTGTCCATGGGCAAACCACCCACTTCATTCTCCTGCCACGCCTTATTATTAATTAATCCTAGTGTTAATAGGTGGGAGGCTGCCCTTCAAGTGCCCAGCTATGACATGGGCAATATGTACATGCTCTGACCTCCCCTTACACACCTCGTAGATGGCCTCATAATCAGCCTCTTACTCTACATGCGCCAGTATCCTCAGCTGCTCGGTACATGACCTCCCACAAAGGCCCTACTCTCCCTGGTATCCTCAGGTGCACAGCACATGACCTCCCAAGAAGACTCTGCTTGCCCCAGTATCCTTAGCATACAGTGCATTGCCTCCCATGAAGGCTTGGCTCTCCCTTCAGTATCTTTAGTCATGTACCGCATGTCCTCCCATGAAGGCTCGACTCTGCCTTCAGTATCCTTAGTCACATAACACATGCCCTCACTCAAAGCTCGATTCTGTCTTCGGCCATTACCCCACGTATGCCCCCTCATTGGGGCTACCTCTCACTTGGGCCCTGATATATTGCCCTTGCTAGGGCTCTGTCCAGCACACTCACTCTTGTGCAGCCCTTCAAGTTGTCCCCTGCAACCGTACTCTGCCCTCTTCCTAGGGCCTGGGGTCAACCACCCCTGTAGGTTCAGGTGCCTGTCCTCGGCATGCCTGGCTACCACTCTGCTAATGAACCTACTGGATGGTGGAGGCTGGAGTTAAGGCACTACTACCTGCCTTTCACCAGGGAGGTATCTGGCCTGGCATTTGTTGGGGACTCCTTCACCACAAGGAGTCCCACCAGGCCACCCTTCCCCAGCAGGGTGCAGTATCAAGTCATGCCCAGGACCATGGGGCCTCCTCCCTACCTCATAGCCCCACCCTTACCTCCAAGATGTTTCTGGGGCTGTGGCTCAGCTCAATGTTGCTTCCATGGCTGCTACCCACAAACTGCCCCCTCTACCCTGAGTACTGGGCTCTAAAATGGCCACCATCATCAACCAGCTGCTGGCTCCCTGCTCCAGCCATTAAAGTGACGGAGCACTGAAGCTGCTCCATCACACCCAGGAGCAAAAAGCTGATGTGTGGAAGATAAGAACCTGTGTCTGGGCAACTTATCCAGGGAGGAAGGAGACTTTGCCCAAGAAAAGCACAGAACAGGAGGGTCAGTGGGGAAAGAAAGAGAAATACCAAAGACTGGAGAAGAAAGTTTTGGTTGCATTAAAGAAAGCAAGGCTCATACCACTGGGCTTCAAAAATTTAGCCAAAGTAAAATGTAGTAGGCCAAATTCTCAGCTGGCATAAATTGGCCTAGCTTTATTGTTAGTGGTAGTAGTATTTTAGAACTCAGGCAGCAATTGAGGGCTTGATGCAGGAGTTACAGGGTGAGGTTCAATAGTCTGTATTATGCAGGAGGTTAGACTTCAATGATCATAATTGTTCTTCTGGCCCTAAAACCTATAAAAGGCTACTTTATGAGCTGAATCATTTATCAGTGCACAAGCACTGCAGGACTGGGACCACCCTGATAGACTTAATTTATCTCCATTTATAGCTAAACTCAATTTGAACCATTTTGAAAACCTTGCTGATACAAACCAGTAAATCAAGAGATTTCTAAACATATTAAAGGATGCATTCAAGAAAAGAATTAATGCCTTATTCTTCCAAGCTGAGGGTTGACACCCTGTGGTGTGGAGGCAATATCAGAAAGGTCTAACACTGCTCTCCATTCTTCCACAGATAATAAGGAACATTAACACATATGCCAGAACGAAGACTCTTGCTCAGGGCTTTCTGGATATGGCACTCTTCACTGCTAATGCTTCACAAATGAAACACCTTCTGCAACAAGGAACTGATGCACAGTTTTATTACTTTCTTTTTGTCCTTCTGGTAAGTTGTGTTTAACACTGTCTGTTTCTGAAAACAAGGCATACTTTCAATCTGTTATAGAGCCCTTCAGCTGCTAGGAGCTTTGCTGCTTTTTGGAATGATGGGAGTGAATTTCACTGAAGAAATTAAGAAAGGTGTTGGACCTGTGTCCAAAGGAAGTGGAAATGTGTTTCTGGGAGAAGAGCATGTTGGCTGAGTAGTCATAAGGGCACAGTTCTAAGAGCCTAGAAAAAGGGCTGTGGTGATCTTTGCTGTTTTTCTTTGTTATTTAAGCCCTGTAAAGGGACAAGTTGAACTTTGCCTCCCATTTGGACTGTGTGCAAGCAGGATGTTGGAAAAGGCCCTTCTTTAGATTCAATCCCATTTAGAAGACCAAATCCTTCTTACTCACAGTTCAAAGGTTCATCATTTTATTGGTGGGGTGGGAAGAATACAACTTAAGAATTTTGCAGGTGTTGTTGTTTAACTTTTTTTTTTGGTAAATAATGTTCTCATGTGTAAAACGTGTATGAATACTGATCAACCTCTCAGCTGCAAAGGGGAGCAGGCCTATACATTTGTTGACCACAACCCCTGGTGTAAGTAAGAAGTGCTTTTGAAGACACTGTCTGTGGTGGTATCATAGAAATTATGGAAAAGTAGGGCTAGAAGGGCTTAGGAAGTCATCTTGTCCAACCCCATCTTCAAGGCAGGATCATCCCTATCTAAATCATCCCAGGCAAATATTAGTCTAATCTCCACTTAATAAATTCCACTGGTGAAAATCCCACAATTCTGTCTTCCAGTGCTTCACCACCTTCTTAGAAAGTTCTTCCTGCTAGCTAACTTAAATCTCCTTTGTTGCAATTTAATCCCATTGCTTCTTGTTCTTTCTGTTGTAGACATAGGGTACATCTACATGAGACGTTTGCTGGAGAACTGCCTAATTAGCTCCACAGTAAAGGCTCAACATATACATGTGTGGCCCTGTTACACCACAGGAAACTAATAACTCCAACACAGATTAGTACTTGTAAATACAAGTATTATCCCGTGGAGCGTTCTTTAGTGCACGGCAACACAAGTGGAGATGCTAGTGGAGCTGGCTGGGGCACAAGGATGCTTGAGTGTGGTGGCTGCCTGCCAGCTAGCCCCATACTAGAGCACCCTCATACCCCAGCCAGTCCCTATACAACACATTGAGCCAGGTTGGAGAAGCCCTGGACTGCCAGAATGACCCCGGGGCCCCCCTGCCAACCAGGGCTGCTCCAGCCTGGCTCAAGGTGCTACATCGAGCCAGACCTGGCCACATGTGAAGATGCGGTGCCTGGGAGCAATAAACTCTGGCTGAGTAACCGATGGAGTTTATTGCTTCACATTAATTTCACATGTAGACGTGCTCATAAAGAACAATTGATCACCATTCTGTAACAAACTTTTGTGTATTTGAAGACTGTTAACAAATTCCCCCCAGTATTCCCTTTTCCAGACTAAATAATCCCAGTTTTTCCAACCTTTCATCATAAACCATGTTCTCTAGACCTCCTGTCTTTCTCTGGCTCTCCTCTGTCCAGTATATCTACTTCTTTCTTAAAGTATAGTAGCTAAAAATAAGCCCTCTCCAGTGTTGAGTAGCATGAAAGAATTATTTTCAATGCCTTGCATACAATACTCTTATTTAAACAGCCCAGTATGCTACTTTTTTTTTTCAACAATATTATACTGTTGATTCATATTCATCTTGTAGTCCACTATATCCCCTGGGTCCTTTTTACAGTACTGCAGCCTGGCAGACCAGTAACTTGTTCTTTCTTCATTCCATTTGTTTCCCACACACACAGAAGAAAAGACTTACTTAAAGTGTGCTCAGCCAAGACATGCTCTTTCACACTGACATTAATACCACCCTATGTCTATTGTAAATGCCTTGTCTGTTAACTTCTAAGACTGCATTTACCTTTTTCATAGCTGCATCACATGTGTGGCTCGTAGTCATCCTGTGATCAAACTAATGCACCCTAGTCATTCCTCTTCTTCTCCTCCTCCTCTGTCATTTCCAATTGTTGAGCACACGGGCTAGTTGTTAGTCCCTGAGTTGCCCCTTCTGCTATTAAATTTTATCCCATGTCTATAATTCCAGTCTGCAAGGCTTACCAGTTCTTTGTGGATTCTATTCTGATCCTTTCTATATTGACACTGCCTCAGAACACTGTCATCAGCCAATTCCTTAAGCACAGTCCTACTTTTGTGCCAAGTTATTAATGAAAATATTCAATAATTTTGGTCGCAAGACTCATCCTCCAGGAACTCCACAAACAACCCCCAGTAAATAGTTCCCCCTTCAATATGACCTTCTGTTGTCTCCCTTATAATCAGTTTCTTATAGTTTTTGCACTAATTCCCCTCTTCTCCAGCTTGATTACTAATTGCCTATGTGGCAACAGATCAAATGCTTAACTGAGGTCTGGATGCATTAGATCTACTGCATTTATCTTGCCCAGAAAAAGAGTTTTATAAACACAAGGATACTGGGTTAGTGCATTTTATCCCATTTTCCACTTACCTCTGTCTTTAATTACTGTTTCCTTTAACATTTGTTCTGAAGCCTTGCAAACTATTGAGGTCACAGTGACAGCTGCCCAGAACACTTTCTTCCCCTTCTTTCTTCATATACACGCTGTATGTTCTAGTCCCAGTCATACAGTATGACCCACAGCCTGATAGCTTTATTACAGTTTGCCAGTTCTTTCACCTTGTCCACCTTATTTGATCATATTAAGCTCTTTAAGTATTCCTCCTTCTTTGGATACATTTTCCATTCCCATGCACTCATCCTGCCGTTAAGTCATCCTGCCTACATCACTTTCTAATTGCTCTTCTTCTTCTTCCAATGAGTGTGTGGCATATGGAGAAATATCAGGGCTTTCAGTTAATCTAAGTGCCAGAGAACCATGCTCCCTGCCATATTCCTCCAGGTAAAAGATGGAGAAATGGTACTTTCCCATATACATACTTTAAGGATAATATTGTCGACCAGTTCCTAATTAAAATGTGCTCCTCACCTCAGAGTAGATCTTGTGTAGAAGCAGAACTTCTTCTGAAGTAGTAGCAGCATAAATAAATAAAACTTCTCGTTTCAGTTTTGTTTATAGTAGTGCTTTTTCCCGTTAGAACTTAATCTAGCATATTAAATTAAGTCAAATAATCCTCTTGTCAGTATAAAAATAATTAGCACAATTTTTTAAAAGAGCACATTACGGAAAAGAATTGTTTTTAGAAAAAGAAAAGAAAAAAACAAAAAAAGCCAAAGCTTTCCCTTTCCAGTATTATTTTAATGAGCTGAATTGTAATGGGTTTAAAATTGCAATTAAAAGACAAAAGCACAGAAATGCCCCATTTTAATTTTAAGCCATATCTCCTATTATTAATGCTACTAATAGCCTTCACAACCATTAGTATTAAGTAGCCTAAAAAACAGACAAAACTTGATGCTTCAACCAAACCATACACAAAGATAGATAGATAGATAGATAGATAGATAGTAATAAACCCCCTTCCTCGCAGCCTGTCAGATATGCATACCCATCTCCTGTGGGTTCAGTCTCTCTGCCTGAGGCTCTCCCCTCAGGTTTGTTTGCAGAACCTGGCCCCACAGACCATCTCCACAGCTGATCTATCCAGCGGCAACTTCTCTTAGCTCACCAAGTGCAGACATTGACCCAGTGGAAACTGGAATGTGACTCTAAGTATCCCTGCATATCTAGCAATAGAGCTTCTATCATTATGAATCAGTCAGATAGATAGTTTTTTCTTTAGGAAACAATCATGTATGTTCCTGTACTCTTCATCAGAAAAACAAAAACCCAAGCACATTTTAAAGTCAATCATGGGAACATTACAAAATAAAAGCAAAGCAACATGAATGAGCAAGTGAGAAATGAGCAAAACATACAAGAGGAGAGCCTTTATAGCCTCCTGTGGGACAAAATACGCATTGTTTAATGCTCAGACCTTTTCTACACTGAGGACTTTAGCCATCAGTGTAGCTGCATCAGTGTCAATCCTTAAAGGAGACAGAGCAAGCTGACACAAGCCAAGATTGGCCCCAGCTCCACTAGCTCCTGCTATAGAGCAGGGTGATTCTCAGATAAGTTAAAACCTGAAGGTTTGCTTGAGTAAGAGTAGGAGGATTTGGCCCAATGCTTATAATACCCATTTAAAAGCTTACACCTTTGTTTTTTCTTATGTAAATCACCTTCTTTTGCATGCTGTCACTAATCATTTATGCTATAATAACACCCAAGAGTTATATTACTGTGGGTTGGGGCCCATTGCATAAATACTCCCTGCCTTCTCACCTTTGAAAAGGTCATGAAAAGAATCAGGATGTCTTTAACAAACATTCATTGCATACATTGCTTTACCCTGTCAAAGTATCTTAGTTTATTCCTCAGCAATAGCTAATGATGTCTTCAACAATGTCAGCACACTGCAGGATTAAAGTTTCTTTGGTTGGTTGTTTACAGCAGCTGCTGCAGAGACAGAGGAGTGAACATAAAACACTGATTCTGTTCCTAAAAAGAGAGCAAATTTCTTTTGTAATTCTTTGATGTAGTACATTGTAATAAAAACAAACCACACAGAGCACGTTCCCTCCGAGGTTCAAGGGGAGTTACAGCTGAGAAACACCTGCAGGATTTGCTCCATGCTTTTAAACTGTTTTAAGCCAATACAAAGTTTTCTGGAAGCCCAGGTTGGTTAAATTTTGGATGTAAAAACTTAAGCACAGCCTTTCAGTGCCAAATCAATACTCAGAGTTACCTGTGAGCTGTTCCTGGGCTTGATCCTGAAGATTATTAAAGTTAGGGCTGACTGCCAGATTTGGGGGAGAGGTCTAGAAATGACAACATGGCAAATCTTCCACCATCCTTCACTGACCATTCATGCCAGCATACTGCATTTCACACAGTGTTTGACATCTGATCACTGTTCCTATGTCTTTTTCATATACTTCTAGACCA